CATTTTGGAGATGAACAGTCTGTTTTTATTAGCAGCCCAGCGTTAAATCTGCTTGAGCCAAACTGAAACAGAACCCTCAGGCCATGCACTTCATGAGCAGCCTTGGCTGCCCCAGCCGTCTGTTAAACACCTTGGAAGCGGGTTTGTTCCAGGTCAGGATGTGTCTTTCATAATGGTCTATGTGTGCTCTCATGTACTTTTCGGAAACACACTCATGCACAGAAATGCATGTGTGGTCATCAGGACTGGAGTTCAGTTGTGGATTTGCTTATGCTGAAGCCTCCCTGGGGGCGAGTTGGGTGAGCAGGGGCAGGAGTGCTTTAGGTGGCTCCGGGAATCTACATGTCTGTGTTCGATCCCCAGCAGAGCAACTGGGAGCATTTAAAGATCCTGAGTATTGACCCGGGGTTGTGTGAGAGGTGGGTCACACCTGGAGGCTCCAGGGCAATCTGAGCAAGGTAGTTAAAAATTACCCTAGATGTGCATACAGAGAGTAGTTATTCTCCCCAGGTCTAGAAAATCTGCATCCTTTTGAGACAAAAGCTGTAATTGGTAGTAATTTTGGTATCCCCTTATATTTCTTTCTGTGCAAGCTACTAGCAGTTCACAACATGTGTAGCAGCAAGGAGGGCAAAGTCCGGGAAGAGGCATCTATCTCTTGTTCAGGCCTTGGAGTGAGAAATTAAGGACTGGAGATTATGCAGGAACTAAGTTTGTTCTGGGTTTGCCTGCTTGAAGAAGTTTCATGGAAACCTCTAGGCAAGTGTAGGTCGGGCTGTTACAGCCGTGCAGTCCTGTTCTCCTAGATATTTCTTTACCAAAGGCTTTTTAATAACTGTCACAAGCCCTGCATGGTCAGGTAGAGCTGTTGAGGAAGGTACTGCTGCTAGGTTTGTTTCCAGTGGGTGGTGGTAATGGAAGGGTTGGTGCACTGGGCATTTTTTTCCTCCTTGTTGCAAGCAGGTGTCTTTTGGACAGAGCTGTGGATCTGTTCCTGACTTGACTCCATGGAGGCAGTCCATTTTGGAACAGGGTTTCAGGTCTGCCTGGTGAAGAGCCTTGTGGATGTTCAAGAGGTGTGTGGAAGGTCTTGCTTGCTCTAGCAGTGATGCTGAGACCCAGGCACCAGCCTGGGGAAAGGTATCATGGAGAGGTGGAGAGGCTGGAAAATAAGCAAGCAGTGGACAAGGACAGCGTTTGCGCTTGTGTGGAAAGCACTGGGCTTGGGAGAGAGGGGACCACCAGGATGGCTTGGAGGGACACAGGGGAGTGATACAGGTCCCACGAGCAGTTCTGGGGCAGGAGGTGGTAGGGAGGAGAGGCTGGTGTGGGATGCAGCGGGGGCGGGTTGGGGGCAAAGCTGAGGTGAGTCCTTGCGCTCGCTCTGCCATCGCTTCAAATTCAGGCAAACGTGCTGAGTACCAACTCTTCCCTGAGCACCAAAGCATAATTTCCACCATTCTCCAGGGCTTGTTGGGATTTCCATCCTCTCCATTTCAGTAAATGTGTGGAAACACTTCTGCTGTAGCTGTGAGGAACATCTGTTTTCAGATGTAACTTATGTCTTAAATCCGTATTGCAAAACAGACCTTCTGCTTAGATGGCTATCTATACATTTAGGATTTTCTCCTCAGCACCATTCATTACCTCAGGCTCTACCTCATTTCACACTGAGGAGTTGTCTTGTGAAGCATAGGCTGTTGCTTCTGTGTGCATTTGGTTTTCTACTTTCATATAGATGAGTATATGAGTATTTATAAATGAATAATAGTAATTTGTTTCTCTTAGATCTCTTTTGTAAAAGAAAAGCTCACCTGCTGAGTGCTAGCAAAGAAATGTTTTCTCTGGCAACTCTAATAGAGAATTCCAGATGTAGTAAGAAACCTGCTTCCTTACTAATGTTAATGTTGCTTTTTAAGTCCAGATGTAAACTAGTAGATGCTAATTTCTGATACAGTTAAAATTTTATATTATAGGCTTTGTTATATTGAGTACTTATTTTAACTTACTATTATATTTAACTTATTTTTAAGTAACTTATTGTTAGTTTTTATAAAGAAGATGTCAGGCAATATGAGGATCCTCGGTTATTTTGCCCAATAAAGCCTAGCACTGTAAAAAAACTTTTTATCCTTCCTGTGAATGTTGTTTCTTTTTGCAAGATTCGCTGACAAGAGAAATCTAATGTGTTCCTGCAACTATAAATTGTTGGTGGAAATGGTTTTTTGCAAGGGTATCTTGGAATGTCTGGGTTTGAGTTTGCTTTTGTTTAATTAGTATGTGTGAAATCATGTCGAGAAATGGGGCAGTGAGCACCCTGGGTACTTACCTGAAGCAGCAAATAGTCAATCCACTGAAACGGTTTTCTGGGGAAGATTATCTGCATAAGAACTGAACAGAAGTGTAAATAATGTTTGCAGACAGGTAATAGGTACGAATGTTTACATTGGCTGTGTATTTTAAATGTGAATTGCTGGCACGGGTTTTTAAGTAAGACTTCTTTCTGCAAAGAGCAATAAATAAAACCTTGATGTGTAGTAGAGCAAAGTCAATAAATGTGATGATTACTATTTTATGTAGTCTTTTTATAAAGTGCCCAGGAATATTTATGACTCGGGCTGAAATGCATTCTCTGCATACGTAGATATACAAAGATAGGTGCATTTTTTCCACCCCAAATGGTAGAAACTGTGTTACACTGAAAGACACTGGGTAGTTAAGAGTTTGTCAGGGAGGCAAGCAGCATGAGATACCGAATTTAACTAATGCTCTTCCAGTATGATCAAGGTGGCTGGACTTGAGTACAAACCACGACTATGTTGTGTGTTACAGTTGGCTTTATTCTAATTTGGGCATAGTGGGTCTAGAATCTCTGAGGTGATACAGTGCAGTATTAGATGAGTAAAAGGTTTTAGTTAGTTATTTATATAAACAAGACAAGAGGAAGAACATATGATGTGTTTTATAATTGCCATATTTAATGGGGATTTTCCATTTTTAGATTTTATGCAGTTGCCTGTGACAGCTCCTGTTGAGTAAACTGAGACGGAAACATCTTGTGTCGGCTGTTGTACCTGTACCTGCCACGATGAGAAGTTGCATAAGGTTTCTTTTTCTTGTTAATTCATGCTTTTATTGTAGTGTAATTATTATAAGCAGGTCAGTTAGTAAACACGTTCCTTTAAGGATTTTGTTTCTCATGTAACAAAAGTTTTCTTCTAAAACTAAAGGGTGTAACGGTATTAGTATAAGTAGTATATCAGGCCAAATCACTGATTTTGTATTAAGCAGGATCAGTCCTGAACTGCCGGTTTACTTCTCCAGACTCATGAATGAGTGTGCTGGTTGCTGCTTCTCTTTGCTGTTGAAAAAAGTGTATAACTTTTTACTTGTGGTCTTACCCTTTCCCATTTGGTGACTACTTTGTGAAACAGAATTGCATATAAACTGAGCAGCTATGTGTGTGCAGAAACACTTGCTTGCACAGTTTTTCTACAAGCTGTATTCCTGCATAAATGAGTGGCTCTTTCCTCCAGGATTTAATCTGCCAACCTTTCCTGCATCACTAGTCAGGGTTTGAACAACGATTCCTCAAAAACCCCAACAGGATTGTCTGAAACAGAATGGATTCATGTTCTATAAGAACCTGAGTGTTTACAGCTAATCTGCACACTGAACCACTAAGTTCAAGATATTTTTGCATGTTATATGTTTTTATTTGTCAGTGATTAAGCAGGAGTTACCCAAGAACAAAATTCTGGTATTGTAAAGGTGGTGGACTTTCTTGCAGCGTCATAGCCTGAGTAATACTTAGCAAAACTGCTTGGGATGCTGTTGTCTTCTGCTTTCCATTCCCTGCCCCAAAACTTTCAGTTTACTTACCCTCTTGTTGCGGTCAAATACTTCCAGAATTAATTATTCCAGAAATAACGACCATAAATTGTATTTCAGTAAAATTTTAAAGCTTCACTATAGTATTTCACCAAGTCTTTCAAAGGGTTTTTCTGTGTGATACTTTTTAAGGGCAGAATATTAAACAGCAAACAGTGCATCCCTTTCCATGTGTGAAATGACAATTCAAAGTAAACATTTCCAGGTTTGGTGTTATGTGCAAGTCTTCAGGTAAGCTAGAAGAGAGAGCTTGACATGAGACCTTGGCATGGTTATTTTAGAAATGGTGGGAAAGGTTCCTCTCTCCTTCTGAGGTAGGAATAAAGCTGTTGGGATAACTGCAAAATCAAATTGGAAGCTGGTGCTATTCTAGAAGGGCTCAGTGCCTCTCTAACCAAGGAAAGTTAGGAAACCCAGAGAGAATATTTTTGGACAGGCTCAGTTATTTGTCAGACAGGGAATTTCTTTGGAGAATAATTTTCCAAAAGGTATTAAATCAGTTGCCTTCATTTTTGCTTGTAACAGTGTTTGGTTAAATTATGTTTCTACTTTGTAGGCACAGAGAAGTTCTCCAGCTTTATAAGGAGAAAAAAAAAATGTGTTTCCCCCCCTGAATTGGGCCAGACAAAATTATAACACAAGGTATAAATTTTTGAAAAATGGATAAACTTTTGTTGTGTGAACTCTGCATTCAGCTTTAAAGCACCATGTTCTATGCTGCTGTCAACAACACCATCGTTTTTCTGGTCTGCAGTAGCTTATTGGCTGGTACACAATTATTTCCATTAAGTATCCTTCAGTGACAGCCTAAGAACATAAGTCTCTTCAAATGATTACTTAATTTGCCCTTTAGCCTATTTAAGATTTTTTTTTTAATTTGTCACCACTTTTTGCCTTTGATCTGAAAATTAAAATATCTACACTTCAATTTATTTTTTTTTTTTTTAGGTTTTAAATCCCTTCCCTCCTCTGCTGCTTGATTCAGTAAGTCCCTGCTGTGAAGACCTCCTGTGCTTTATGTGAACATGTGCTCTGGGTGCTTTGCAGAATAGGCCTCGATGTTGCTTGGTTCCTTCAAAACGCCTGTAACGATGCAGTCTTAATGTTGAGGTTACAGCAGCTTGTTAGGGAAGAAGCTGATGGCGAAATAGTTTTGCTTGGAGTTTTAAGAAATTGTATGGTTTAGAGAAAGATGGAATTAATCTTATCCTACAAATGAAGGATACTGGATTGATCTGTTCCTAAAAGGACCTACAAATTTAAGATTCATGAAGCAAAGTTTCTTTCCATTACAACTGAAGGATCTTATAAGATCTAAACATTACTTTTTCAAGTAAAATTTTTATTTTCATTAGGGTTTTCAAAAAGTTAATGAACATAAAACATCAGCAAAGAATAATATGGCATTGCTTAATTAGGAAGAAGTATCAAAGTTGTGCATCTTATGTACACATCAGTATTAGTTGCTTGATTTATGGTATTACTTCTAATACAGTTGTATCAATATGTTTGAAAAGTTAGCTGAGTTAAGTGTATTTATAGTTCATCTTGCTTTTATGTGCAAAACACTGATTTTTTTTTTTTTTTTTTTTTTTTTTTTTTATTACTGGTAGCTCATTCACCACTGCAGAAATTCATCTTCTGCCATTATGACAAATGTCCCTGTATTCCATAATGATTTTAATTACTCTGATTTTTTTTTTTTTTGATCTTTTAGGTAGATGGCATAATTTCTTGCCTCTGCAGTAGAATACATTAGAAAGTTACATCATTGTGTTCTTTAGATGTGATAAATGATGCTTTAAAAAAAGTCAGAGTGAATATTCTGGCATCATTAGGGACCCTGGAAGAAGTTACACACCTCTTCATAATGCTGTTGCTACGGTTTTGGGGAAATTTCTAAGCCATTTCCCAGTATTTACCAAATATTAGTTAACTTATTATCATATTTATTTATGTAACAAGTGTTGCATAGTGGTGCTGAGGCTGAAATTGTAGGACTGATGGTAAGTCCCTAGGAATAAAAGAACCAGCACATACAGGGCCTTCATGGAGGAAGGGTACAGTTTCCTTCTCTTGTGTAGGTGTCCCGGTCTGTATAATATATGGAAAGCATTTTGACAGACTTGGTGATCAGGGTTCCCATGTACAGAGTGGTGGCATTGCTTGTGTTCTTAGGGCTTGCATGGAGATTGATGATTTAGGTAATAAAGATTGCTCGTGAAGATACTCATGTGGGTACTCTGTGGTTGGAGAGGATCTTTTTAACTGCATGATCACATAACATTTTCAGATCAGTACATGCCATTTGCATGCCATTTAATTAAAAACTCAGGTCCTGAATTTCTTAGGTTCTGTGTTCATGTCGTGTAGTATCCAAAGAAATAAAAATATTAAGTACTGCATTCTGTTAAATGGGAATGGAAGTTTTTTCCTCATGTATCAGTGTCTTGTTTCATTTGTGTTAGGGGTTAAGACTTCTAGCATAATTTCTGCAAGAAAAGACCTACTTTCATATGGATTGCAATAATATGTTTGCAAATATTTGAAAATATGTTTGAAAGCCCTTGCCAACAGCTGCAGAGTTTACCACTAACATTTTCTTTTCTCGTTTCAGATCCTTCTGGATCCCTGTCTGTTTCTGAACTCTTCTTGTAACCTTTGTAAGCAGCCAAAATGAAATTGAAGCATAACATCAACCCTGTTCTTCTGCAGTTTATAAACTTTATAATCTTTGTGTACTCCTTTGTAACATACATTCCGTGGTACATACTTTCAGGATCAAGGCAGGCTATAGCAAAAGCCAAGCAGGTTAAAGCTAAACCTGTGAATAACAAGCCTGGGGGTGCGTACAGGTCTGTTAACAGTCTACATTGCTTAGCTTCAGTTTTATATCCTGGGTGTGATACACTCGACAAAGTTTTTAAATATGCTAAAACTAAATTTAAGGACAAAAAACTCTTGGGAACACGTGAAATCCTAAAAGAGGAAGATGAAATCCAGCCATCAGGAAAAGTTTTTAAAAAGGTAAGTCTTTTTGCAGTCTGCCTTCAAGAATTTTTTCCAAGTGTGTTTACTTTCTTTTGCAACAGTTCTAGTCCAGTAAAGCAAATCAGGCAAGAAAAATAAGTTTCTCTACTTAATCTAAGTAGTCGTGAAAAGAGTTAAATTATCTAATTCCCAACCATTTATTATTCAGTGTTTAAATCAAATCTAAACATTCTTTTTGCATTTTTGAGTAGATATCCTTTTTTATGGTTTCAGCCAAGGAAAAAATGCAAATGTGGTCTAGGTATTTGTTTTTAATATTTAGCTGATGATGTAACTGGCTTTAAAGTTTTCCTTTTAGGTGACAAAAAAAAGAAGGTCTCTCTGTATTACTCTGAACTAGAATCAGATAAATACAGAAAAATTACTAGATGCATATACTCAAGTGTGCCTTTCCAGTAAACTTAATTGTAACTTAAAGATTACTCTTTTGCCCTGTGAATTCAGGGCTTAAATGAAATTTTTTTGGAGGGAAAGGATTGCACAGACTTTAACTGGAAGAGGTGGGTGGAGGTTTTTTTTTTTTTTTTTCCTTTCATTCTCCTTTAAGGTAAACTACTTCTCTGCTAATCTGTAATCGTGGTGTGTGTGTGAGATGTAATTTCAATATAAATTTCAACATAAAAGTCTGTTGTTTCAAGGGACTAACTTTTTATAGTCTTAAGTTCAGGCCTGTATTGTCAGTTACTGCTTTGTATTTGTTCAGAGGCATTTAAAAATGCAGTTTTGCCTAAAGAAGCCAGTCAAGATACCGTTATCAGGGTACATGCATACACGCAGATATGTGTTAAAGGTCTGTGCTTCTGTATTAGAAGTTAGTAACTGCATGCTGTAAAGACAGTTTTTAGTGATGATTAGTTTTCCTGCAGAAGATATTATTTCTTCATATAATAAAGGATTCCTTAAATACTGCTGGTTTTAATTTTGATATGGGAGTATAATGTTCAAATTAGAATTTGGCTAATAGCATAATAAGTGGCAAAGTTTAGTTCTATTAAAGTCTTTATAGAAGCTTTAATTGTTATTGAAACTTCCTCCTAGCTATGGAGTTAATTTTTCAGTATGAAGGAAATGCTGGGAGAAGTGGGTACATGTAATCTTTCCTCATGCACGTTTTGGTGCCTCATTGCCCTATAAAGAAACAGAAGGTTGATGTTTTACAAAATGGGCTTCTGAGCACGAATTGGAATTTGTGCTGCCCGTGATCTGTGCTCTGTTTTTTAAACAGAATTAGTAATGTAAGGCTTAAGAACTTAGGAGTTTTAGCCTTCTCCATTATGCAAGCAAAATGTTCTGAATATCGGAAACCTGAAGAATGTTGGTGTTGACCTACTTCAATTACTTGCTTTTAAGTATTTAGACTTAGAAAGTACTTAAGTTAGGTAATATTGTCTAAGCTTGACACAACAGTTCATTATGGTAATTTGCCATACTTGCCCTCGTGGTATTTTGTTCCAAGTTGAGGTATTATCCTGTAAATCTACTTTCCTCTCCCGCCCAGTTAAGGAATACAGTGTTTCTTAATAGCTCATAACTTATTCTAGCAAATGAGGAGAATTGTAAAATTTGATAAGATACCTTGTTGATCCTAAATGTCAGGGTTCATTTCCTTTGATTTTTGTCTTTTGTAACATGCATCTTTTTATTGCCTCATTCCCTTTAGTAAAGGCAACTTGTTGAGGTTTATTTTTTGAAAAGGCACGTCAATTTTATTTCTTAAATATAACATATGTAATTTCTGTACCTTACAGGAGTTGCAAAACTTGTTAAGTATTTTTTCCCTTTCATAAATTGAACACGGTGGTGGGAATGATTGATGCATTTTTCTGAGGTCATCTGTAAGTCAGGGGCAGATCTGAAAGTAGATCATGGGTCTGCATACTGAATTGCATTGCCTGTTGGAAGATGTCTCTGCAAATTGCAGTGGGCTAGGTTAGCCTAATTAATGATTCATTAAAGGGGTAAATATATATCTCAAAAGTAAAATATTAAGCTTCTGATTCTTAGGAGAACTAAGCGTGCTCCACTTCTAGCTCTTCTAGCTAAAATTATTTACAGCTAGATATTTAACATCTTTAAGATTGGGTACTACTGATTCGTTCTGAGAATAGTGATATCCCAGATAATCTTTAATTTCTTGAATTTTTATGACATTATATTGTTCAAAATATTTATTTATTTTATAATATTTCATATGTAGTTAGTTTTTCTGTTCCTTTCTGTAGTGTCCTTTAGTGCATGGATTGGAGAGCATACCTAATATTAATTTCATCAAATATGTATTGAAGTCAGGATAAAGTAGTGTTGAAAATACTTCAGAGATTAAGATGTAATTAATTGGAAAAATAATTAGAGCTTAAATTTCATGATGCCTAAAAGATGAACTTTATTCTGCTAGTTGATTATTTTATGTCATCTTAGTTACAGGTGTTTGCTTTGTTTGTGCATGTGTTCTTTTCTTGGTTTTCTGGAGGTGGGCTGGCTGTTTGTTTTGGGGGTGGTTTGTTCTCTTTTTTTTAAAAGAGTTTGTAACCAAGAACAGAATTAATGGAAATATAATAAATAAGACATAATGGGGAAAAGTAAAGACGATTTAGGTAGGGGAAAGTGATGCATCTAAAGCCTGTGAGACTTACGTGAAACAGTAAGGACATGGGCAAGCTCTTGGGAGTTCACAACCTCAATCATTATAGCTGATACTGAAACTTACTGTGAGGTTGCAGGAAGGATCTTGCCATGTCAAGTCATTGAGCAGTAACAGTAGCTTATGTTGAAAAACATAGGGCGCTATGTAAATAATATTTTAGGGTGGGGTTTTTCAAAAGTGTTCAGCTGCAATCCATGTTTTCATGTGAAAGGCCAAGAAAGGACATTTCAAATAACCTCCTTTGTATCACTTTTAATATATTTTCTACAAGGAAATGTATTTAATTTGTGGTCACTGGTTTCCAAATTGTAGACAAGGTTCTTCAAGCCTTACAAGCTACTTTTAGGAAGACCTTGAAAGGTAACTGAGGTCAGGTAGTTTAATGACTCTACATGTGCCTGCAGCTTTTTTGAGAACACTTTATGGCACCTTCACACTAAAAATTTGAATGTAGCTGCCCTAAAATCCAGATTAAAGAAATGTTCACCATGCAGCAAGTGTTTAGTCTCTATACATTGCTGGCTTTCCAAATTAATAGACTACTGTTTAATAATATTTTCCAATGCATTAAAATATTTTGAATAACTTGCAATTTAAGTATGTTTAAAAGCTGGTGCACTAGAGGGCAGTGTTTTTCTATTAAATGTAGTATTTCAAAGTAAACATTCAGAGGTGCTGTCTCTTCTGATTTAGTGCTTGGTATTCATCTGTTTAATCAATTCTCAATTATCTTGACCTCTTGGGCCCTTATATTGCAACTCTTGGATAGTTAGTTTCTTTACATGTGTAAATAGTTACCTAGCAGAAATAAGTTCTGAAAGTTGCAAAATTAAATGTGTGTGAACGTTTAAAAGATCATAGCACTTAACATCAGTCTTAACAGCTGTTTACAGTAGAAACCGTACGTTGGAAAATATTAGTGAAAGCTACTGATGGAAGGGCCAAGAAAGGGCATGCATTTGGAGACAGATTCAAACATAAGGAAGGATGAGAGAAACCATGACCTGCTCTGTGTCCCGCAAAAGAAGCGTATAGGGCAATGCAGAGGACAGGCACGTACGGACAGGGGCAGTACATTAGGATGTCATAGGGAGGGAATAGAGATGAAATTCTGGGCATAGGGAGGAGGGGAACATAGGATTATAAGTATATGAAAGGAAGTAGGAAAAGTAAAACAGCTGCATTGAAAAAGGTCTTACCTATATTTCTCTATATAGAAAACTAACTATAGCAGTGCTATACTTCCTTTCTGTGGGTTTTCTAACCTCTTAAAGGAAAGCACCAATAAGGCCTTCTTTCACTACTTCATATCAAACTTGTTTAAGCAATGAGGATAAATTAAGGGAATAAAAAAAGGGAAAAAAATCAGAATCACAAGTATTATTCTGAAAAGATCCTTTTTTGACCCTTTAATGATTTATTATGTCAACTTTAGTGAGTTACGAGGTGAATGGTGGGAATTACCAAACCCTGTTCATTTATGGATTGGTAAACTTAGCAGAAACAGTAACAAGAAGCTGCTTGTTATTTCTTGGCCTAGTTATTTGAGAGCAGCATCCCTGAGGCCACGCTCTAGGTAGAGTATAATGGTGGAAAGGGCGTTGCTCGATTCATTTCTGTAAATTGTGTTCAACTGATGAGCTTGTCAAGAATTTCCAAGTCTGCCAAAAATACTATGTTTGGGGGGAAAAATGTCCCAAATTGGAATGAAAATTCCAAATTACTGAAATTTGGAGGGACAGGAAGAGGTGCAGTATTTTCTTCGGAAACAGTAAAAGTTTTCCACACCAGAAATATCTTGGTGTGTTGGAACGGAAAGGAACTCCCAGGCCCTTCTCCCCGGGGGCCGTACCTGTGAGTGCAGGTAGCGTGTCAGCCCTCTCCCTGCAGCACTGCCCGTGTGCTCGGGCAGCAATTCAGCTGTCATCCCCGTGCCGGTTATGGCAGAGAAATTCAGTGTGATCCTTCTTCTCTGGTAAGGCTTTTGGCTCTGTAACAGCCCGTTTGCCAATGAAGCTGAGTTCCTGTAAACAAAACAGGAAAACCTGAACAGATATTTGTGTAAGAGAGGCTTATTTGCTGGTGAAATTGCTAAGTATTGCTATTGTTGGCAAGTATTGTTTTTTTGATTTTGTTAAATGATGTTTTCCCATTAAAATGTTTGTGAAATTTCGAAGCCTGTATACCTGTCCTGAGTTAAGAAAGGTTTGTCCTGCTAAACAAGTAGGTTAATGAGCAATATTCAGCAAGGCTGTAGTAGGTACAACTTGGTCACCCAATAGCAAACTTGAACAGTTTGAAAAAGTGTTTTGATGAAAGAAATCTATTAGGTTTTATTTCTCTTAGAGTATGAGAGAGATTTTTCAAATTAATTTTATTGAGGAAGTGAATGTGGAAAATACAGACTCATTAGAAATGTAGTTACATGCCAAGAAGTTGTTAGATTTTACAGCCCGCAAGTTTGAAATTTAAAGTTGATAAATGAAATCTGGAAAACAGTGGAGGGAGGAAGGAGACTTTTGCTTTTCTGGCCTTTTTTTTTTTTTTTAATCACTGGCTTGCGTTTATTACTAATGCTGTGTAGCCAAAGGAAACGTCCAAGGTACTTGAAATAAAAATCAGTTTTCAAAATTGTCAAAGTGCTTGTATTAACCAAACAGGTAAGGTATAATAATTAGAGTCTGGTTTTTCAGTGCAGAACATCTTCTTTTTACTGTATCTGTATATGAAAATTTCTAGGATGTTGTCAAAGAAATAACCTGTCAGTGAGAAAATAGTACTCTAAAGGTGCAAGCGCACACACACAAATCTATGATGGAATAAACTGTAAATTCAGATCCAATTTTACTGTGCACCAGCTTTCCCATATGGAAGAAAAGTGAGATTGCTTAACTTTTTCCAAATGACTTTTCAGTACTGAGATTTGCTGTCCTACTTTTTTTTAGCAGTAAAAAAAGAGCAAAAAGATTAGTCCTCTTCCCCCAACATTTGTTTCAGAACAAACAAAGGGAGGAGGATTTCACAATTTGTGATTGAGGACCCATGGATATACAGCTTTCTGGATTTCAATTTCCCTGTTTTTTTGGTTTTTTTATACGAACAAATACCTAAGTATCCTATTTGTATAGGAGAGTCATAGCCCAAATATCCAAGAAAGCAAATACAGAGTATGTATTGTACTAGCTAGTGCCTGTCACTTTTTTTTTTTTTTTTTTTTTTTTTTTTTTTTTTTAAAATAACACACCCTTTTAAAAAAACTAAAAAATTT